GCAAACAATTCCCTCTTCGTATTGAACCTAAAAATCGAAAGACTTTCAGTAAAAAAATATGTTGTTGTACTACGACCGATGCCGTTGCTAAGGGCATCAATAACTACAAAGTTTTTGGGCGAAAATAACGTTTTAAAGGCTTCTAAAAGACTTACAGAGTCAGCTGCTTCGACAAAGGGCTCATGTATTCTTCCTCGTTTTCCAAAGTTTCCAATATGGCATCAAAATCGTCGCCGAAGAAAAATAAGTCGTTCATGTCCTCCATATTGTTTTGGTTCTGTGCAGGGTCATTGGTCACGTGACGTTCGAGCGAAGCTCAGGGGACACACAATAGGCCGGCCCTTTGAAGTTTGCCGCGTTTCCTAACCAGTCCCCTCTACTAACTATGAGCCAACTTGTTCTCTTGGTGTCATTCAGTTGTCAATCGTGAAATACGATCGTCCAGGTGAGAGTAGTCCTGAAAAGGTTTTTTCTCGAAACTGAGTGACTAACCTGAACAGAAGTCATCAGAGTCAGGTGAACAAGCGTCACAACTTTCTGATTTGTGAAAGTGAGTGGTTAGTTTTGCAGTAAAGTGGTTTTCAGACTCAAATTTCATTCGTGAGTTGATTACTCAGTTCTGATCGGTCGGTAATGTTAGTTGCTAATGTTTGGTCCAAATATACTTTGATTTTTAAGTCGTTTGTAAGGTGCCGCGGATAGTTGGTGTCCGGTTTAAGTCGTAAGGAGTCTACTCTAAGTTGGTGATTTAGCTTTTCCAAGTCAAGTGCGATAGTGCGAGTCGATCCTGTTTAGCCATGTGATTTCCTACGTAAACAAATTAAATACGAAATTCAAGTCAAATTCAATCAAACCCATCAAAATAGTTCAATCATTGAAGTATTTTGACGAGGTCGCCGTGGTATTTTGTTCGAGGGCCACTTTCGTACCGCCTTTGTGCGACATCAACAAGGATTCAACTGTGGTACTAATTGTAAAACAGACCAACAAAAAATGAGTCAGCAGAGTTCGAAATTGATAATTCAAGTGTTCGCATTCCGGTGCCAGGATTATGACCAGTTTCTGTTTCTGTCTTTACTTCGATGTGACTAGAATACTTGAGAGACGTTATACCAAATTATAGCTGTTTAAGCAACAACGATTTCGATAAACATATACAGCCAAAAACTGACGATAAAAGTTCGACGTTTCGGCGACATCTTGGCGCCATTGTCAAGGAACACTAAATTAAACAATTTGGATATATCAACAAAGTTGAAATGGTAAATTGGCCACCGTAACGATTACAAAAGCTGACGTTCCGAGCGTTAGCCCTTCGTCGGAGCGAATAGAGGAATTGTGGGTTGTGTGTACTTTTAAACTTTGTTGATATATCCAAATTATTTCGTTACTCCCACCGACACAGCCCCAAACAGTTTCTTTCGAAACTATCAGCCTTTACTAAATTAAATATGCGATCTCAAGAGTAACCAAGAATCCAGAGTCACTAATTTGCACGGGTCAGGCTGTTTGTTCAAAAAAATCAAATGATCACACGCGGTCAGTGTATAACAACCCGTACCACGACACACGATTCCAAAAATGGTGGCTACTTGAGAACAATTCACTTACCATGAATTTAGTTTTATCAATTCCAAGACAACTTGGTTGTAACGAAGACTTCACACAATGCTTAGACATATAAAGGACACCATTTTTGCTAGTATTACTAAATGATTTTAAAGTTCTTATCTTTGCTGTATCCGCTAAAAATTCGGTGATTCCGTCGTCATCTCTAGAGCAGCATCTTCGTTCTTCCATTTCGTTCTGACAACATTTTTCCTCCTGAAGGTAGAAAATATGGATGAGATCTGGGAATGCTTAGTTTAAATGAGGACAAAAACTAAAAATAATATTTTCATAATTGTTTTGCGCTATGACACGATCGTTGAAAAAATGAAAGCATCGAAACTTTGTCGATTGCTATTTACAACGAAGCAAAGGCCACTGAGTAGAAGAGCCATCAGACCTCCGCGTGGCAGCATTCGAATACAAAATGAAGTCCTCAAAACATTTATCAAGCAAAATATTTCTATGGGAATGTTTCACTATATATTTTAATATCGTATGTTTTGCCCTTTTCGAAGCCAACACCCTACTTGAGGTTACTTTTGAGATGAAAAGCCGCTTAGCCCGATCATAGCTATGGCCCGATCAACTAACTCGTGCCACGTCGTTTAGCAAAGATAATGTTAAGACTCGTTTAGATCTCTGAAAGGGCTTAAGGCGATATTTTCCAAAAGCAATGCTCACCTGCTGTCTTAGTCAGATAAGGGTGCTTTCGTTGCTCTTCTTCACAGGTCCAGTGTCCTCCTGCTTCCAGGGAATAACGGTTACATTTAGCACAACACTTGTGTTTAGCACAACGGGCCGCACGTCTTCAGTCAACGGCGGACAGAGTGGTTTGCTGCAAATTCTACAACTTCTGATGAATATGGATTAAAAACTGCAGCCAATAATGGCTGCTATTTCGAAGATTAGCGCGGATTTCTATTTGCACGCTCAGCCAGCTAATCAATAATCAAGCTTAATGAAAGGCATTGTAAATGACGGATCGACATCTGACAAGAAGGAAAACTTCACAGCTGCTGAATTCTAGGAACCACTGCTTGACCAGTAAATTACTCTGACATTCGAAAACAGCTAATTTGAAAGACCGATATCATTAAAAGCAGAAGATCACTCAAATATTTTACGCCTCAAATTTTAAATTTGCGTGATAGATGACAAATTGTGCGTTGTTCTTTTACGAGGGGAGCATAACACACAAAAAAAAGCACACATAATGACGATGTAACTTACTGGTGAACGAAACATCGTGAAGAAATTAAGGCAATGATACTCCCATGTAGAAAAAAAAAATAAAAGTAAGCAAAATGAATTTAAAAAGCTGTCATTCTATCTCACAAGGAGAAAGCAACACAGGCACTAGTTGAGTTACTTTTTATTAACTAAGAAACCAACAGCCCGGCGCATCGAGCTGTATAGTAATCCTAAAAGTTAAGAATTATTAGTGGTAAGAAATGAAGGAAATAAAGAAAAAAGGATGTAGAGAAAGATGTTCATTCGTCTTGCCTCGAGCGTGGGACATAGAATAAAAACCTTGACTTCCAATTAGGAATCGAACGTCAAACTCTCGGAATTGGTGCTCCGATGCTCTATCATTGAGCCACAGAAACTCCACCATGAGCTACACTATTACAAGGTCCATGTGGCACGCGTCCAGCATACAGCTGCGATAAGCAATATCGATCGAAAGTGTGAACATAGTCGAACAGAGACAAGGTGAATAAATAGAATTTATCTTAAATTCTACTTGAAAAGTTGTTCGAAGTTGTTAGTCAGCCCAAGGATGAGCAATGTGCTGCTCTAACACATGGCCAGTGCAAGAAAAATCTGTTCACCCAGTTGCCTTGATAGGGACGGCGAATTGTAGCACATAGCCTGTGAAACAGGCGCCATTTTGGTGTGTGTGTTTTTCAGGCCGCCAGAGGACAACGCGAGGCGAGGACGAGGAGGAGGAGTGCTAAAAAATAGTATCTATACCGGAAACACGAGACGTTGTAGAGCGTTTTCCTTAGTTCTTACTTCACTGCGATGGCCGGAGATCGCTATGATGTGCCGCGACGGAGCAGAGTAAGATCGCAATCTTTCTGACACTATGACTCGTATAAAAGTTTGACAGATACGCCAGTTTGGATATGTTTTTTATCATTTCTGTTGGTCTGTTTGATTTTTTCTTTAACACAAAACAATATTATTATATTGGCGTTAGCTGTGTTTGGGTTTTTTCACCGTACGTAAGCTTATTACTCTCTTACTGCGTGAAAACCTTCAGAAACTCGGACTCTTCATTTCATTGTAAAGCCAAAGAGAAGTTTTAAAGATCCAGTAAAACCCCCTTAATTCAAGTTATTTCTCAAAAGAGTCATTACTTTCAGAACACTCAGGAGTATAAGTTGAACTCTGAAAAGTAATGGCTTCTCGTAAGGTACTTATTTTCATGAAATGGTATTTCAATGACTGCTAACATGAACAAGATGAGGTACTTTTTTAAAAACTAGTACTCAGTATTTTCTTAGCAAAAAATAGCCGCCATCTTTGATTTTAATGACAGGGGAAGGCTGGGGATAGAAAGAAATTTGTACCGAGGGGGTGAGTGACGGTCAAAATCAGAAGAGGGGCCGGGGTGGGGTGAGAATATTGCTGTTATTTTCGCCCCTTACTGTCCCCCTCCTCCCACCGTCGACCCTATCTCCAAATCAAACATGGCAGATTAAATAAACGATCGCGCGCTTCTTAACGTTAACACGCCCTAAACAGACGCCTGCAGTGCAGGCTAAACAAAAACACATTTCAAGTCAGACAATTCTTAGTTTGAAAGGAGGCGAAGGACACCTCTTAATCGTATAATCAAGAGACCATAGGGTAGCTTCAAGCAGCCTTTGAATGAACCAGTCACCTCTGCTAACAATAACTAGAGTAGACTTTTCACAGCGATGTAATGTTTAATTTTGCACTCAGCAGTGCCTTAAAATTTACCAATTTAGCGTCGTAGATCATCTCATAACTTCCACTTATACAAAAATATTTAATACACTACAAAAGCTATCAAATGTAACAAAAATAACACGACTGTTAACCAAAAACAAAACTTAAAAATATTTTCTTACTTTGCAATATATAGTACATTTATATACAAATAACGTGGAGTATTAAATATCTCTCTATCCGGATAAATACTTTGATCAAATATAGCGAACTCATTGAAGCCATGTCAGAATTCGCTTCAGGGTGCACGAGGCCAAAAATGGCGTTCAGTGATCTGGGGACAAGCATGACTGCTCAGTTCGAAAAGGTATCGGCTAAAAGTTGCTTCAAAATCTACCGTACAGGCCTTCCCCAAAACAACCTCTATTTTCGTTAGTGTAAAATCTCAAAAACCATTTTGAATTGTAGTCTTTTTCGAAAACTTTTTACTGGAGAAACTAGGAAGTAATCGCGAAATCGATGTCTTCAGATTCATTCAGATTATACTTGTCTTTCCCTTCCCATGCACCCTTTAGCTCCCATGGCGATCAAGACAGAATTTCTCCTTACAAGATCAATACCATGTCAAGTAGACAAGTGATGAGAATAAAGAAAAATATCAGTTAGAGGATTATTAATTGATTGAAAATCAAATCCTCCAAACTGGCATTATAAGAATTGTAAGGTGATGCTAAGGAGAGTTACGAATGAGATCTTGGGAGCGAAAGTGTTGATGGCTTCTGAATTCATTTACAAAGGTTTGTTTGTTTGATTTTTCTAAGAGTTTACACGTACGATTTGCCGATGCAGAGAAATCCAACTGTCTTTTTCAAAGGGCATGGATATACATATGTAAAGTATGTTAATGATGGAGGCACATGACGATGGCGAATCTGGCAGCAGTTACTTCGTATGGGGAAAAGTGATAATGAGATTAAGATGGAGTAAACTGTCGACTTAATACCGTCTGCTTCTTGGTTGAGAACTAGTTGTGGCACCTGGAGAAACAGATATAGAAAATACTTATAAGAATAACAACTATTGTTATCATTCTAAATTATCTATAGTCATTACGTTACTAACTTAATATACATGTATTGACGCCAGGGTTGAACGATACTGAAATGAGTAACGAGTGTGCAATGGCTCTGAAACAAATACCGCATGTCCCCCAAAAACATGAAATGGCGGGAAAACATTCCCACATTCGTGAATTTATAGACTTTACCCTTGTAATAGCAAAGGAACGAGAGCTAACAAGAAACGAGGGTTATTAGAGCAGATGTCCTAAATTAAATATCTAGTGGTAAAGTTTCATTTATCCCAGCTGTGAAATAACGATTCCCCATTCCGATTCCCGCACGTTTTCCTTCCTTTCAGACCGAAACTTCAAAATACTTCAAAATACTTCAAACGCGTCGTTGAATATGTCTTACCTCTGTCAATGGCCCCAAGTCTGTTCTGTAAGGACTCCAATCTATGAATGTACAAATTCAGAGAGTGATCACCACTATCACTGTCGTTATGAGCCGATCCCAACGAGGACGCTCCGGACGGCGAAAGCGGACGATCATGATGATTGTGGAAGTCGAGTAAGCCCGATCTTTCTCCGCGACGAGGCGAAGAATGCCGAGGTGAGGTCTCGAAACGATCTCGATGACTGTAATCTCTTTGTGCTGTTATAGTGTCCCTAACGGGTGGCGATTTTAATGTTCGGATGTGATCAGTCGTGGTCGGTTCTCGAGCGAGCGGCGCCGACGTCGAGCGGGTATCCGACCAGGATGTTGGGGAAAACGTTCTAGTTGATCTGCTTGGTGACGTGACATGACTTCTATGCTGCAAGTGGCCGTCTATACCAGATGTAACTCCTCGACTGAATCTATCACCCGATGACGTACTCGTGGGTGGCATGGTATGATTTCTAAAGTCTACATCCCCATTCATTCCTGTGTGATGTCTGTCACGAGTTCTCCGGTCACTTCGCGGCGAATATCTGTCAGCATACGAAGAAACACCATTGGGCTGATACGAATGCACTATTGGCGCAACATGGGTGCCATTAGCATTAACGGGCCTTTCCTTGGTCGACCGAGGTGCGTAAGTCTGACTGGGGGCCTGGTAAACAGTGTGATCATAACCGTTTACGTCTCCGTGAACCATACGTGATCTACTCGTGTTCTCACGTGTACTGCGCGATCCCGTGATGGTAACGCGTTTTGATTTGTTCACCAAAAAGTTCATACGTTGGATAGCGAGGACAGCTCGCCCGGCAGTGCGGAATCTGCTGATTGCTGTCCGTCTGAAGGAGCGGTCAGGATCCTTGGGGTGAGCTCCCATCTGAGCGATCATGGCCAGCGTAGTTGACTCACAGTCTTCAAAGCCTCCCAGAAGCAGCAGAAGATATTTCTTTTGATACACAAGAGCTTTTCGAAAGCTTTCAGCCTTGATAAATCGTTTGTAAAGCTTTAGGAGCTGGAAAACAAGAAGGAAAATGTAAAGGACGATAGTAGCCTCACGGGCTTCGATACAAGACAAAGATCGTTCCGAATGCTCTTTGTCATAGCACTGCTGTCAATCGCCGCAGTCACGGACATAGGAGAATGACCTCACGACGCGCAATTCACATAGTCGCATGTTATTGACAGGCAAGACGTAAAAAAGATGTCGGAAGTGCTCAGTGATTCGTAAATGAAACATAGCCCTGCTTAATCTTCTCAATAATTGTTATTTAGTCAATACCACTTAAGTGCTTTTCACGCGCGCTGATTGGCTTGTTCAGAAGTGAATATCAAGTACTATTCACCTCTGAGCAGCCGATGAGGCAATATCGCACGTCAAGAGTCTAATTTCCATTTTTCGGTATATTGAAAGAAACAAACTAGTTTTATTGGTGTCTGTGTGGTATGTACTCAAACAATTATCTTTTTGTCGTTGAAAGTGGTGGATATTTACCTCAACTTGTAAGTTTGCACATTTTTTTCATCGAATTTCGCTATTGATGTTATTAAAAAGCTGCAAAAAAATTTTTGCGCCGGGGAACATTACGCTTCAATCTCCCATCACGTTTCTAATAGAAACAGACGCCACAGGATTACAATTTGGCCACACACTACCCACCTTAGAGCGTGGCCACGTGATCTCGTCGCTATCTGACTCATGACTGCTGACCGGTATGCGCGGCGTACCAATGTCTTTACTGATTTCTTCTCTCAGACGAGCCAGTTCTGCTTCAGCTGACCTCAAGGCCTGTTGGGATCGAGCTCTTTCCTGAGCCCACATTTCACGCTCAGTGTTCAGCACAGACTCGGCATGCTCCTTTGTAAGGCGTGAGGTCTGGAAATGACATGGAGTAAAACAATCATTTTTAAGGGTCACATGGTGGACAAGGGTTCTATAAAAGGCAACACTCGGATACTTCTGTACATTACCTGTTCATTTGCTCTATCCCGCTGTCTATACTGCGCAATTTGTTCTTCTAAATTAGCCAAAGCGTTTCTCAATTCCTTCTTTTCTTCGTTTAATTTGGAAACAAATTCTGCCAGTTCTGTGTTTTGACGTACGATCCTCTCTTGTGCAGCGGCTTTAATGGGCGACAATGGTACTGTCTGGTCGTCCTGAAAATCATTTAAGGTAAGTAAGGTTCACGTAAAACTTGTTGGAAAATTAATCAGGCTATATCCAGTCCTGTATAACATTTGTCGTGAACCCCATTAGGATAGCTGGGCTTGCTCCCTATTTGAAAATGCTGGAATCATCGCTCTCAATGAAAATCACCTTTCAGGCCTCTTACTCGAAAGATCTAAATAACAATTCTGTTCCAAACTATTTGCTATAAAACAAAAAAACATCTCTATTTGATAATAAACTTTACTTCTCATCGACCCTCTGCATAAACTGAAATGCATCAAACGTTTTTAGGAGAAATTCATTCTTGGTTGAATAGAAAGAAACCTTGAAATACTGGTGCGCCAGCAATGTAAAAACTGCAAATGGTCACCCTTAACCAACCAATGAGATGAATGTTTAAGGATGGAGAGATGAATACGATTTCAAATGACGACATTCAAAGAAATTCGGCTTTTTTTCAACTTGCAAGGCACCTTACAGAGACCATGCATGATATATCGCCTGTAAGGGATGGGGGGAGGGGGGGGGGAGATCATTACTAAAGAGTCTTAGGAGGATGAGGTAACTTTCAATGTGACAACCACAATCCTCCATACCCCCCACCACCACCCCCAGGGGATAAATTAGGACCGAATATGGCATGACTATATGCTTTACAAACAGAAAATGTTTGAAGACATGCTACTTACGTCTATATGCACAGTGAGCGTTGATCTTATTTGCTCAAGTTCTTTCAGAAGATTGGCAAGTGATCTTTTAACTTCTTCCACCTCCTTGTTACCCCTAGAAAAGAATCGAAATCTGAATATACAAGATACCACAGGAACATAGAAGTATCCTGCAAATTGCTGTGATTGGAATAAGACCAAGAGTTCAGACCGAATCTGTCGGTCTACAGCCACGGCAAAATTTTAAATGTAAATTTTACTTGTACATTTCTAGGGACTTTCGGGCACGAACTGGGCTTCAGGCGAAGATCTACCGACGATTTAACGGAGATCTACCGACGACGGTCGACATATCCTAAGCACTCTCCGGAAATCCATTATTTAATTACTGGAGTTCTTTACTAAACAAGGATCCTGGACGATCTTCGATAATCAAATTTGATCAGAAGGTCATTGAAGTCTAAAGTAATCGTTACATCAAGAAAAGCAAAACGCTGCAAAGCGGAAATAGTTGGCACATGAAAGCTCCTTGTTCCTTTAACGACTGAGTTATTCGGAAAAATAAGCCAGTCATAGCGTTACCTGGTTGAAGCAGAGTCTACGGAATTTTGATGTTTGTTGATCAGCACCTGGTGTTGTTGTCTCATGGACTCCAGTTGTTGTTGATGAAGCTGGAGCCTCATGCGTAACGGGTACAGTGACGCCTCCTGGGAAGAGAACAGTTGTGTTACAATCACGTGACACCGTTGAGTAACCAGAACAAATTTCTTGTTCTCCAAAGTGCCAGAACAAAACGCAGTGATCGTTAAGTCAATTCTATTATCGATATTAAAGGAAATAAAATATCCATGTTAATAGCAGGGTTCACAGAGGTTTATCAACCTCCTCAGCGAATTTCTTAAAGCTGACTATTCGAATTTGAAACTTCTACTTCTCAACGAAAATATTCAAAGAATTACTTTCTCTGTGGAAGTGCCTTTTGATGACTATATTTGAAATAAAACTGCGAAATCTAGATTCGTTACAACGATACAAATAATAAGACTACAATATGCCACTTCTCCATTCCCACCCTCCCCTTGGTTGAAATATTCTTCTTAATGGTCCCCAGAATTTTTTTCAGCTGTGATAATTTTGTAAGTGGTTTCTTTAAGCCAACAGACCTTTTCTGACTGTTTTAATGCCTGGCTATCCAGATCTTGTTGTAACTCGCCCAGTTTCTTATCTCTTTCTGTCAAATCTCTGTTAAGATCTGCGTTCTTTTCTCTCTCGTTCTCCAGTTTCTGTTCAAGTTGAGCTCGCTTTTTCTTTTCGTTTTCCAGCTCGGTCTGTAGATGGCGTTCCCTTTCCTTGTGACTCATGGCAGTAGCTTGTTGAACGTCTCTCTCATTCTGCAGCCTTCTCGCCCGGATTCGTTCTTCCTCCATAGTGCTCGTCAGTTCAACCAATTGTTTCTGTGAATAGAGAAAAAGAGTGAAAGATGGGTTTTTTCGTCTCATAACGAGGGAGAGACAAAGAAAGATGAGGAATCACCCCTTTACAACTTAAGGTCTTTGGAATGCTAGGCAAAGAAAGATCTGAGTCCACTGATACGACTGGAGGCAGTTCATTAACCGTTTACACCGTAACATCAGAATGCATATTCTCCAAACCTTTTTCTACACATTTTATGTCGTATTGACAAGGAGAATTTGCTTAACAGTCAAGATCTCAGAGAGCGGGTGATCATTTCCCTTATTCTCATGACCTAATGTATGATTCAGGGGTGATATTGTAAGGAGAAATTAGATGCTCGTCACTGGTAAGCGTCAAAGGGTTAAGGGGTCGTTTTTTATACAAACTGGGCATCATGGGACTCGTTTGCTAACTAGGTTATGTACCAAGCTCACGTGTCACGAGCAAAGTTCTGCACCATGTTAGGAGCAGTGATGTCCGAGGCACTCTGTGTGGAGATAAATCTCAAGCTCTGTTTCTGAGAACGTCAAGACGAAATACCATCATTGTGGCAAAACCCACCAACTTTAAATAACAACAATACTGATTTTAAGTTCCCTTCACCCGGAGAGCGGAGACAAATAACCAAGCTTGTGTCACAAAGTCTCTAGGCATGGGAGTATTACCCCTCAGTTTCCTTCGAATTCCTTAACTTAATTCCTTAAACTTGACTCTTAACCATCCCATGTTCATGTCCAAGCTACAGGGAAATTCATGTGGCTTTTATGATGACAGAAAAAGACATTTCAGTACCTGCACAACATCTAGAGCTCCCTTTAATTGGTGAGCGACTATTTTCTCTGTCTTAGCAGATTCGTCGTTCTTGTCTTTTTCGTTTTCCAGAGACTCCTCAAGGAACGCGCTACGATTTTTCTCATCTTCAAGAGAAGTACTCAGTTCAACAGATCTCTCTCGGGAAGCATTTAACGCTGCTTGCAGTTCTAAACAAAATAAGACATTACGATATCAATAACTGAAATAAGAAGGCACGCGCATGAGCGATTTTGCTCCCAAAGTCCTCACAAGTTCAACTGTTCAAACAGGGGTCATCTGTGCCGTCTTATTTTCCAATGAATTATAAATATCTTGGTTAAAGTATAGGAGAAGAAAAGGAAGAAGAATGTCTCGATGAATCACCAAACTCTGAGACAGAGTCTTCATGAAAAGCCAGGAGATCGCATCAATACGAAGGTTGTAATTTAAAACTAGTTCAATTTTGAAGCTAGATCTGTTTCTTTTACAGACAATGACCGTTAAACTGGCTCATTTTCCTTAATGTTTTACCTTTATTTGTGCTTCGCAGCTGATCTGCGCGCTCCTTTGAGTGTCTAAGCGCCTCTGTCTGACGTTTCTCGTTCGTCAAGGCCAACTGCACGTGTTCTGCTCGAGCTTGCTCATCTTTCAAAGCTGCAGTCAACTGATCGATAGTCTCACGATTTCTCTCTGTTGAAAAAAGGTTAAGATATTGATTGAGTTAATTCGTGAAAGGAATGTCATTACCACAACAATAACAGGTATCCTAACAGAAAAATAGGACGAACCTATTGCATGAAAAGTCTTGACACCGTAGGATATTGAATTGGTTTGGTTCGATAAGCAAAGCTTCGCCGTATACTACACTGCTTAAGAAAAACAGAAGCACGCACGCACCCACGCAAATGCATACACGCACACCCACGTCCACACACACTTGGGAAAAAACTTTACTTTTCGTTAAGGTGGCTCGTACTAGTTTCCTCGCGCGAGGAACAGATAACTCTTGCGTCACGCGCGAGAAAACGTGCGAAAGAAGCGCGAGATTAAAAGACGAAAATTTAAAACAAAGATGGCGGCGCGA